AATCATTTGCCAGATCATCCAGTTGCAAAGATCAAAGCAGTAAATAACGGTAAGCACGCTCAGAAGGCTGAAAGCAACAAGGCTGGAGGATTACTGCAACTTCTGTACCTTTGTCGTGACAGTAAGGTCATGCTTGTGGCAAACCTGAAGGCTGAGTGGGGTTTGTACAATGGAGCAGTTGGCACAGTTGTGAATGTTATTTATCTTAATGGTCGACGGCCAACTGATGATCCCCAACCACAACCAGATGTTGTTTTAGTGCGTTTTAATGGATACAGAGGACCAGCCTTTATTGACGATCACCCAACTATTGTACCAATTGTACCAATTAGTAGATCAATTGAATAAGCATGTAGATGCAAGCGTGTTCAGATTCCTCTAAGACTTGCTTGGAACGGCAATTCATAAATGCCAAGGGATGACAGTTGGTGAAGGAGAAGCATTTAGATATGTTGTTATACATCCTGGTAACCATGCGTTTAAAGCGAAGAATCCTGGAGCACTGTTTGTTGCATTGTCCAGAGCAAAGTCAGCTGGTGTACCAGACTGGGATCCCGACTTCGCTTTTCATCAAGACGTTTTGATAAACGAAGACAGGTTTCGTGAAGTGAACACGCCAACAATACGTTCTCGAGCAGCAGAGATAGAAAGGCTGCGTAGGCTTTCAGTAGAATGCCGAGGCAGAGAAAGTTTAGTAAGAGCATATGAAGAATCGACCTTTGAAAGGCTTGTCAATTGGGCTCAGTACAGAGCAGTTAGCTAAACAAACTCACTGATAATGGATATGATGCATCAAACAATGTGATCTACTGTACATGTAATAGAACAGCTGATTAGCTGATTATCCATATGTTGCACACATTGCCCCACAAAATACTGCATGAGAATGATCATTCAAATATAGATGCATGCTGTTAAAGTGCATATAGCCCCCTATTTAGAGTAATTTTCATATAATTCTAGACATAATTTTAAGCACTTCTGCGAAAAAATAAATCGATTTGGATAAATCTCTGATTTTTAATTGCATCCCTACTTTAGAGAGTCTTAAAAAATCAGGGATTTATCCCAGCTGAAAAGTGCATAAAATTATGTCAGAAGTCTAGAATTATATGAAAATCACTCCAAATGGAGGGTTAGGTGCACTTTATTGATAAGTAGTCTATGTAACATGCATCAGTTGTAACCTATGTGGTTACACTCTCTGGATTATTAACAAACAGATTATGATTAAGAAAATATACAATGTTGGCAGGGCTTCTGTGATAAAATAAATCAATGAAACCAAACATAAACTTACGCAAAGAATGTAGAGAATTTAAAGACTTTTAATTAAAATTGTTATATGATGCACTCTAACTTATTGGTCTAGCGATATTCTACTTCTCATGTATTTCCTGACAATGTTGTAGTACAGTGAAAGCTTGGATTTTTAAAATTCATTCAATCACAGCAACCCTGGCTACATTTGTATATATTCTCTTTGAATTAAACCTTTGTGGTTTAGACAAGCAATGTTTTGTGGATTTTTCTA